TACTCCAACACCTCCTCTCTTCTCCTCTCCCATTCCCCCTTACCTGAGCCACCAGACCCTCTTCTCTCCCCTACCACCCTTTTATCTCTATCCCTTGCTGCAGAACCAACCCTCTCTTCCACTATTACCACCCACTTTTGTGCCAACTAATCATCCCTCTCCTCCCAGTGAGTACTTGAATGTGTTTCTTATCAAAAAGTTTCAGCACTGTCTCAATATTCTAAGGTACTCACATTTTGTTTCCCCCAAAATAAAACCCTCCTTTGATAGAGGTAGACTGGAGCAATATACCTGCCCCCCCCCTTTTTTTTTTAAACTTCAGATTTATACCTGGGTTAGATTCAAACTCTCAGTACCTGAGGCCTTGCTTGGATTTGATAATCATTGATGCCCTCAGAACCAGCTATGTCCTGTGATTTGAGATAGTTTTCCAGATAGTTAGTGCCTCTCTGAATACATGCTCAGTATAATCCATTAGGTGTGTGAGCCTTCTCAAGAAGTTAACTAGAAAAGCCAACTCTTTCTGAAATAATGTTTTAATTTGATTTCCCCCAATGGGTCGGTGGGTGCCATGTATTCTATTAGAGTAACCCTTGAACTTATGAGACCCTGGTTTGATTTCTATCTGTGAACAAAAACACATTGCTAGAATGTTAACTTTAAGCAAAGCTGTTTTTTCTGGATACCATAAGTTGGGAACCCCTTGATTAAATGTCCCCAAATTTGGACTGCTAACAAAACCCTGCATTCTCATGAGGGACACCAAATGTCAAGGCAATCCAATCAACTGTATGGATTTTAGAGCACTTAAAAGGTCAAGCTTTAAACAGAAAGCTGGTCTTAACTTAATATGTATAAAATGCAAGCACTGCACAGACAATCTTATCAAGTGTGCAATGATCAATAATGGGGCAACAGTTCTATCATGGAAATAACTTGTAGAAAAGTTATGAATAGGTTTTATGAATAAAAGTAACCAAATAGTTTAAGAACAGACAAATACCCCTTATTTAGCAGCTTTAGTGCTAACAGTTCTACATTTCATTCCATGCCATAATCCCCTCCTCTGCATCATCAATGACAGTCTCAATACTCCACTTATGCACCTCCCAATGACCCCATTTGGTGTGGAATTCCCTACACAAACTAGTTCACCAAATCAGCACCTTCCCTTCATTCAAATTCTTCCTAAAAATCCAGCTTTTCTCATAATGCCTATAAGAAATTTAAAAGAAAAGAGAGTTTTACATGGGGAAAAAAGCAGCTGCATTATCCTCCATTCTCATTTTCACTGCATGAGGTTTCTTTGAATGAGCCTCTTTTTAGACCACAACATATTTGAGATTTATTAAAGATCCTGAGTAGTTAATACATTTTTTTTCTTATTTCATAGTACATAAGAAAACCAAAGAACCACATTAAACTACAGCCCACCCTCAATAGCTTTTGTCCCTGAATAGAACTAACTGCGAACTTTTTAGAGTACAGCTTTATAACCCTTTAGTTCCCACAATAGGAAACAAAATTAAAAAAAATATTTTCCAACTTTTCCCTCATGCTTCCATTAACAGGAAGGAAAATTAAGAGGAAAAACTAACAAAGAATAAAAATATGTTCCTATTACAGTGCTGAGTCAGCGCTCTCCATCTCATTTTTCCACACCCAATGAGCACACCCAGGAAAAAAAGAACCCCTGAGTCCTCTAGCTTCATCTGCACATCTCCTCAGAGAACTCTGTGAGGTCTGCAAATTGCTGCTGCTAATCCTGGACCACTACAGCTATGCCTAATGCAGTGAGTCTGTGAAGAGCAATGGTAAGTCTAGAATTGTGTTGGATACAACACAGAAAATGGTAGTTTTTGTTGGGGATAGGTCAAGATTTGTTTGCTTGAAGTGTCTCCTGCCAACTCTAGGAAATACAGAGTTAAGGTAATGTCTCCCACACCAAATCCACACACAACATTAACTCTGTATTTCCTGATAGTCAAAGGCTGAAGATCAACCACGTTCCACATTTTGGAAGGGCATGAGAAAGCACTAGGCAACCTTAACTCTTTGTTAACAAAGTTTTATGACAGTGAATGTCCCTTGTTTTCTGAGGAAGTGGTGGTAATGAGTTCTGACTGAGTTCTGTGGACCTCTCCACCAGAGAACCAGTTCTTTTGGACTCTTGAACTGGCCTCTCTGGTGTCATTTTTATACCCCTGCCCCTTTTGTCAGACCAGTTTTCAATAAAATATCCTTATGCAAGCAGATTTTAGACTAACTTTCAATATACTCTAAAAATCAAAAGCAGGTCATTGTGCATGACTGTATGAGGCTGTATTTTGGGAACTCCTTGACCAAATGACTTTAAACTTGCACCACAAAGTTTACCCCAATCCCTGTTCTGGCATACCAATTTTCAAGATAATCTCCTTATGGATATGGAACTTAGAGCACTTCAAAAAATCTGTTCTAAATCTCTTCAATAATCCTGCCTACACTTGAGGCACAACTACCAAAAGAAAACTCTTTGCAGCTTCTCCCCCCAAGCAGAGTGCTTGCATAACCAGACACTTCCAGGTATTTGCAAAGGAGAAGACTTGTACTCTTAGCCCTTGAACAGTCTTGGGTGCAGGACAACTGCTTATTCCCCTATGCCAGGTGTAGTCAATTATTTTTTGTCATGGTCCAAATTTCTTGGTCAAGATATAGTCAAGGTCCAGACTCCAGAGAAAATAATAAAAAAATTAACAATAATGATGATAATAAGTAAAGAAAAAGATTTTTGGGGTCTGTTCAAAAGTGTCTGGCAGCCCGCATTTGGCCTGCGGTTTTCCTATTGACTACCCCTGCCCTATGCCACCAAGTGACTGTCATGTGAGCTGAGCTCCATTCAGATGGTCATCACGGTACTGTGCCCCAAGCTTTAGGTGCACTAATCTAAAAGTGTATGTGCAAATCACTTTCTCTGGCATGCATCACAGATGTGTGCCAATTTATAGAGCCAGGAAGACACTTTAATAACTCTATTAAATATTTTTGGGGGAGATACTGTAGCTCTGGAATATCTTGGCAAAGTGATGCGACATTGTATCAGTGTCTGCATCCTCGGCCCAGATGAGGCAAACCAGTTTTCAAGACAATCTGAGTATACATGTGAACGCTAGCGCATGCTGAAAAACTGGCTCTTAAAAAGAGAGCTCAATTCAACCTATGATTTGGTAAAGCCGCTCCATGATTCCTGTGTGTAGTCTAAACAAATTAATTTAGTCTTGGACAACATTCTCTTTCTTTTCCTTGCCCCATAGAACAACAATCAGCCTTTTATTTAAGGTTCATTAAATAACTTTTAAGTTGCATAGTAGGTGAAAACTGGCTGAGTTGCACCAGCAGAAGATTTAGTATAACCCAAGAAGGGGATGCAAAGATTATTTTAAATCACCTTTTTGTTCCCCATACAGATTCTGAGTCAGTCCCCTCCCCTAGTACAACTTAGAGTAGCCTGAAGTAGGTTTATATGAAGGGTCTACCCTAAATATGGTGCTATAAATAAGATGAAGACTTGACATACCTGTCCTTTCTCGATCCATTAACTAAAAATATGACGAATTAAGTTCCCATGATAAAGTTGTCATTATTACCCAAAACTTTCTGGATGTGTGCCAGCGGGACCCTAACAGTAAAATCAGGACGACTAGTTATGCAGTTGCAGAGTAAACCTTGTTATATATTGTCTATAATAGTTGTTAGGAAATAGTTGTAATTTTTGTACATCAGCTTCAACGGGGCTACTTACATCTGAAAAGTTAAGCATGTGTATTTGCAGGATTCAGATTTAAGTAACTATGTTGTTATAAATAACTAGGCCTCATTTATATAAAGATACCCCTGAAATATAGATACAGATTGATCTGATGACTGTAGAACTATTTTGACAGCTTTGTTTTTATGTAAGAGAGACAGTCTGCATGTTCACATTTAATTATTTTTGCACTGCATGCCAGCTTCTGCTGGGGAGTGTTACTGCTTCCTTGTTGCTCAGCAGCAGTAGTATGAGTACACTCAAGCTGTTCTGGCCAATCTCTGTTGGCAAGCCCAGCCTGGAAATAATCATTGTAATTTATTGTTTGATTTTTTTATATCTGTGAAAACATAAATTCCAGTTCTAGAGTATGCAAGCTACATTTAAACCTTGTCTATACAAATAAATTACACTGGCTTAACTAACAATCTGTTTGTAAAGCAATTTTAAACAGGTGCAAATCCCTGTGTGGACATACTTCCATTAGTTCATAAATGGTAATGTCAGTTTAGACTGAGCAGCTACATTTACTGAAACAAGCTAAACTGATGTAACCCAGCGTCCACACTTGGCCTGGCACCAGTTTAACTAAATTTGTTTGAAATCCTGTTTGCAGCTAAATTGGAGCAACTTTGTGTTGGCTGTAGACCAGGCCTTAGTACCAGAGAGGAGGAAACAAATGGCTTGAAGGTGGGGTTCTTTCTGACCTGGGGAGGCAATGAGGATAACTGGCTGAGCCTAATCTCCAAATGTGGCAGAGATGCCCCTCCTGCCCAAATCCAGGCACAAACACTGCTGTCTGTATCACAGATATATTACTGAACTGCCCCTCAGTCTCCTTCGGGGCTGTGTTTGTGTGTTGTATTGCCAAATCCAAGTGGTAAGATTAGAAACTTAGTTTAAAGAAAGCTGAGCGTTTTACTTAGTAACAGGACTCCAGGAGCTGGGGATTTGCGGACTCAAGGCTTCACGCAAAAAAAACTAACAAAAATTCAGGAGTTGGCATCAGTGGGAGGCACCATCTTCTCTCATCCCCGCTTCACAGCGATGGGGGGCGGCCCCTAGGCCGTGCTGAGCGGCTGCCCCCTACACTCGGCGCGTCCCCGCTTTGCTCTAAGTGGAAAGTTGTAGGGTTCGCGCCCCACGAACCTGCACCCCCCCATCACGTGCTCATATGGAGCCGCAAAGCAGCGATGCGTTTGCGACAGGGTGACAGCCAAATGGTGCGACAGCCGCGGCGGGCGGCCCCAGCCAGCTGCGGTGGAGGCGGCGGCCGAGGGCTGCTGGAGCCGAGCAAGGAGGAGCCAGGGCGGGGGAAGCGGCGCTCGGGTGGGCGGCCAGCCGGGGAGCGCAGCGCCCGTGCCGACCCTCATGAGAGGGGGGGTTCTTGCCCCTCCCGGATCCCCCAGGCTCCCGCCCGGGCTGAGCACTCAGCGCCCCCTCCCCCCGATTAGTCCCGGCCCCAGACCCGCCTCCCTCCCCTCCCCGGCGGCAGCGTCCAGGTGCGGAGTTCAAACCAGAGCGCAATGGCGTCCAACACGGCGGAGAGGGAGATTCTCCTCACCGACCTCCAGGTAAGAGGGGCCGGGGTCGCTCAGTGCCCGGGCTCAGGCCGCCGCGGGGAGCCCGCTCGCCTCCTGCCCCCGGGGGCCGGGCCCCGTTCCTGTCTCAGCCCCGCTGCCTGGAGAAACCAACCGCCCCCTGCCTCCTTCAGGCCCGGTCCCCGCGGCACAACGCTCCGCGGACTGGATGCTGAGACCCTCCCCCGTCCCAGGCCGGTTCCGCGGGTGCTGAGGGGATGGACCCCACCCCATTCCGCCGCCCCGCCTGGGTCCGGCTCTGGTCTCCTCCTCCTCCTCCCCCTCTCCAGCGAGGGGATGCTGGGGCAGTCGCCTTCCCCTCCGCCAGGCCCCCAGCCCCGTCTGGGCTCCTGCTTAGCGCGCGCTGCCCGGAGGATAATCTTCTTGGCCAGAGCCGCTTCCCTCCCTCATCGGATTAATGCCCGGAGTGACTCAGGAAGCGTCCCCCCCCTCTGGGCAGGTTGTTTGAGAGTGAGCTGAAACGGCCTCTCCAAGCCTTGTCTCGAGCTCGCAAACAGATTAATAGCCCCTGAAATCCTTGTTCAAGTGGTGTGAGGTCCCTTCTCTTCCACGTGCCGCTGCCGAGATTTTTCTTTTCCCTTCTCGCTCCGTTCAGCCCCTTAGGTGCACATCAAGTTGTATTTACAAACACCCGAGTCGGTTCATTGAAGGAAATAAACGTAATTGGTTAGTCAGCGCTGGGCATCCTGTGCATAGTAGAGGATGTGAATAGAGCAACTTTTTCAGCTGTGTCACTTGCAAATGTTCTCTCCAGCAGGGAAACAGTCAGGTCTAATTCCAGTCTTTTTCTAGTAGAAAGTATTTTTCTTTGTTTTTGTTTTTTCATTCCCGTTGAAGTGCTTGATGATCATACCAGATGCAGCTTTTCTTGTATGTAGCCTTTGGGCTTGTAATCCATGCAGAGAAGAAAATGGACAGATAGAAATGTAGTTCAGTACATTCAGAGAACTCCTTTCTTTAGTTGTAGAATAATAACTGGTAGAATGTTATGAAAATGCAGCTGTTTGTCATTTCCAAGCCTCTCTGAAAACAGGCCAGTTTCCTTGACTTGTGTAAAGTATGGAGTTAGACTATGAACAGTGTAACTGTTACAGTTCTCCAATATGTTTTGACTACAAGATTAAATAGAGATCTTTAGTAGACTTGCTGTGTACTTCTACTGCATGTTAGATTATTTCTCAACTAGGAAATGGATTTTGGTAGCTCTTGCCCCCTGCTCCCCAACCCTCTGTTCAGACTTCATAACTTTAATAAATCTATACAAAATAAGGGGTTACAGTTTTTATAGGGCAAAGATGCAACTCTGAATATCACTTTCAAGTTAGTAATAGGACAATAAGCTAAAGTCTGTAACTGGAAATTATGTAATTTGAGTGGAAATGAACAAAAGGTCCCTGAAAGAAAAACGTTTTACTTTGAGTAATTTGTATGTAATTTTTTTAAAATGTAGTAGTGGTATTTACAGTATGTACATGCTTACTACTAAGAGTCTACGGCACGGTTGGGCAAACTTTTTGTCCCGAGGGCCACATCTGGGAATAGAAATTGTATGGCGGGCCATGAATGCTCACAGAATTGGGGTTGGGGTGCGGGAGGGGTTGAGGGCTCTGGGGTGGGGCCAGAAATGTGGCATTCAGGGTGTGGGTGGGGCCTCTGGAGTGAGGTGTGCACGGGAGGTGAGGGCTCTGAGGTGGGGCTGGGGATGAGACATTTGGGGTATAGGAGGGTGCTCTGGGCTGGAACTGAGGGGTTTGGGGAGGGGAATCAGGGCTGGGGCAGGGGGTTGGGGTGTGGGAAGGGGTGCAGGCTCTGGCTGGGGTGCGGGTTCTGGGGTGGGGTGGAGGATGAGGGGTTTGCGGTGCAGAAGGATGCTCAGGGCTGGGATTGAGGGGTTTGGAGGGTGGGAGGGGGATCAGGGCTGGGGCCGGGGGTTGGGGCGTGAGGAGAGGCTCAGAGGTGCAGGCTCTGGGCAGCGCTTACCTCAAGCAGCTCCCGGAAGCAGCGGCATGTCCGTTCTCCGGCTCCTACGTGGAGGCGTGACCAAGCAGCTGTGTGTGCTGCCCTGTCCGCAGGCACCACCCCTGTAGCTCCCATCAGAGCGCTGGAGGGGGCCATTGGAGCGCGGTCATGCCGCTGCTTCTGGGAGCTGCATGGAGCGGCCCCCAACCCTGCTCCCCAGCTGGAGCACTGGAGGGGGGCCATGCTGCAGCTTCTGAGAGCCGCATGGAGCGGCCCCTGACCCTGTGTGCTGGCCGGAGTGGGGCCATTTGGCTGCTTCTGTGAGCGGCATGAAGCGGCCCCCGACCTTGCTCCCTGGATGGAGCGCTGGAGCAGGGCAAGCTCCAGACCCCGCTCCCCAGTGGGAGGGCAAGGACCTGCTTAAAACAGCTGGTGGGCGGATCCAGCCCACGGATCGTAGTTTGCCCACCCCAGTCTAAGGGAAAGAATGTACAATGAATATTGAGCATACTTCATTTACTTACTGCAAGGGTAGTCAGTTATTTTTGTCATGGTCCATATTTCTTGGTCACGGTATAGTCAAGGTTCAGACTCTGGAGAAACATTTTTCACACCAATAATGATAATAACTAAATAAAAAATGTTGTGGTCCATTCAAAAGCATCTGGCAGTCCAGATTTGGTACATGATCTGCCTATTGACTTACTGCCTATAATGAGAGCAAGACTAAAGACAAGGCACTACCTCAAAAGTTAAACTTCAATTGCTGGTTCATAACATGACTTTCTATCGAAAGAGTTTATACTAACCTTTCATAAACTATCAGTGTTTTAATACAAACTTGATATTGCTGATACCCAAGTTGTGTGACATTTTTGAAACATCCCTGTGGCAGAACAATACTTTAATTAAATGGTTGTCACAATGTTACATATACAAAAAAGTGAATATGAATAGAGGCAAAACTGAATTTATTTAGAAATACTAGAAATATTTATTAGAAACTTTGTAGCAGAACTGCATAGTAGAGAACAGTGACATTTTTTATGGAAAACCCCAGAGTGGAACGAATCCTGTGTCTTCTGTATTTTCTACACTACGAGTAGTAATATATAATATGTACCAATATATGTAAATCTAGCTGTCAATACAGGAAGCTTACAATATTAACAAGGAAATCCAAATGAAGTTTAAATTTATTATTCTGTCAACTCTGCAAAATATAGAAAAGAACCATCGTATCAGAATGGACAACTTTGTGAAAGTTATATAATTTATTTTTACAGTGGCATGGATTAGTTTTATATCCCCTTTTCCTATCATTTTATATTATTCACTTAAACTGTGGTTTATTAGATTTCTACTTTTTTTCTGGAAAAATTGCATATCCGAATTTTGAATTTACCACTCTTCTTATTTAAAATAAGATTTAATGAGCTGTATTAAATCATATACTTTAAAGTTTTTTGTTTGAGATGGTTCCAGTATAAGGCACTTAACTGTAGTTCACAACAGGAGTGCACAGTTGCACTCACGTTTCTTTAATTCACTGGCACATTTTTTATCTACAAGTAACATCTAAAACTACTGTAATTGATATGGGTTAGGAGAATTTATTTTCACTTTTACTTTATGTATTTGACAGAACTTTGCCTAGTCGGTTTTCCCTAGGTAGTCAAGACAGTCTCCTTTTGTTCATGTGGGTCTTTTGGCAAGAAAACTTGGGAGCAGGTGTACTAGCTGAAACTGTTTCTAACTCATTTTTGTGACATTGACAGCTATTGGGTTGAAGGTCCCATACAGTGACCACTCTAAATGTCTCATTCAGTTTCCACTGTAATTTCATTCAGTCTTTAAAGACCATTTTTAAAGCCTCGTGTTTTCACGAGATACATTTCACTGTATTTTAGTCATGTTAGCTTGGGATTCTGCTATGGGGGGGGGGGGTGTGATAAGGAACTGAAGAATGTGGCTTCCAGTGCATATGCTGGTGATCTGGAATTTCCCAGTAACAAAATCTACAACTTTGTTCTCTCTGCCAGTAACATCACTACAAGCAGCGGTAAAATATTTTATATCTATGCTAATGGAGAGTATTAAGAAAATGTTAAAAGAATGCATAGAACCAACTGATCTTATAGTAAAGATTCAAAGCATTACCTAAATCAGGTATAGTCTAAGTATTTGCTAGAATTCTGTAATTAGAAGGTAATGTTTAGTTTTTGGACAGTACTTCATTCTTGGCAAAATATGATGAGCATGATAAGGCGAAAACATTCACAAGTAGCTGACAGTACAGTTTACTAGGAACTGATGCAGCAGTTACTGTAGCAAATATGCTTGTTTCAAAATGAACTTGACCTACAAAGAGAGATTTTGCTAACTTTGACATATTAACTGGACATTTCTTATGTAACAAACACAAGGTTTGACTGTATATCTGATTAAATTGATTTTTTTAAAAAGAAATTAAACTTAAAATTTGTTTTGGCTTCCATATGTAAGTAGGAAAATAGATTTCAGTTGGTACCTTAATTTTCTATATCTGTCTTCAGTAAAATACAAAAAAAGTTGAGTACTGGATTGTTTACAGAATTATTAATGAAATATGGAAAAATCTTGCACTTGTCTCTAGGTTGCTGGTTCAGATTTGCCAAAGGTCAGAAATACAGATCAGTAGCTGTTGAATGAAAATACGTTAAATGAGTTTGGTGGTCTGTCAGATTTGTTCATAATAGGTTCTGTTTGGCATCCTTGTTGGCTTATCAGATGACACTGCCAAAGTCATGGAAAATAAACTACCTTTTTACCCCTACAGATAGTCCCTTCATGTCACACAATTCAGATACTTCTATAGGAGTGATGGGGTGAGGAAGAATAATCACCTAGGTATAAATCAAGTATTCAAACACTTTCCTGTTGTGCTACATAAACAGTAGTAGTAATTTTGAGAAAAAGAGAGGAATTACTAAAAGCCTATGCAAAACCTGGTTTTATGACATTCTGTAGCTTAC